AGCTAGGGGCGTAGGCGTGCAGAGCGCCGAAGGGGTACCCCCTTCTGTGCTGCCTCATATCTGAGGATGACAGACTTGGCTGTCTTTAGGAGTTCCTTGCGAGTAAACCAGCGATCCTCAGTGTGTGGCTGGTATAAGAACTTCACAAGATACTCCTTATCTGGACCTGTCCCTGACTCATCCTCCGCAGATTCGACCTCATACCCCTTGCCAGGGATAGGGGGACCGAATTGTGGGGGCCTGTCTAGAAATGCATCGGCTGGCGTAAATGGCAACAGCTTAGATGCATGAAAGACAGGGTAGGTTTGTAGATGCAGAGGGACGTCCACATTATAGGACGGACCGAACGGATCAGCTCCCACTGTATCTAAGACCTGCCATGGACCCATATAACGTGGCAGCAGCTTAGGAGAAATGTCCTCCTCTCGCGACAACTCAGAACTGAGTACCCACACCCAGTCACCTGTGCGAATCGTAGAAGGACGCCTGTGCTTATTGGCCTGTTGAATCATAGCCTTTTGGGCTTTCAACAGGTTAGCACGGGCACGCTCTATGTCCACACGGTAACGCCTGGTGAACTCTGCAGTTCCAGGTGTCAGCGTAGGGGTAGCCTTGTCGATGATATCATCGAGAGGCTGCCGTGGTTCACGACCCCAGTGCAACCGGTAGGGGGTGAACCCAGTCGAGGAGTGTACAAACGTGTTATACACAAGTTGTGCACGACTCAGATGGAGATCCCAGTCCTGCTGATTTGGACTGATCACAGGACGCAGCAATTGGAACAGAATCTGGTTCATCACTTCAGCCTGACCATTGGCTTCGGGATGACGACCAGATGTCATGTCCAGCCTCGAATGAAGGTAATCCCTGCAGTAGGATTGCCATTCATTGCTGCAAAAACGGGGATCTCTGTCACTGACAATGGAGGTGGGTGATCCATGATGTGTAACCCACGTGTCAGCAAACGCCGCCTGGACGGCCGGCACACGAGCCTCAGCTGGTAAGGGGATGAACTCTGCATATTTGGAGAACCGATCCACACATACCATGACCTGACGCATACCTCGTGGTGTAGTCCTACCCAAGTCAGTGAAATCAATAGAAACTGACTGTGCAGGAGCATCAGGAATAGGTAGGGGTTTGAGTAAGCCAAGGGGAGGTCGTCGTACCACCTTGTTCCTTCGGCATAACTCACAGGTTTCCACATAGTGCAGCATGTCACTCCTTATCTCCTTCCAGAAGAAGCGCTGCGACAGGGCTGCATAAGATTTGAGGGCACCAAAGTGACCACGAGCGTCATGACACTCTGACATCAGAAGTGTCCTCAACTTGCGGTCCTGGGGAATGCACAGACACTCCTCGCCTCTGCTGCACGTGTACAGCAGGCCTGAGACCAGAGAATATCCTGGTTCAGAGGTAGGATCATCCTGGAGACTCCTCACAATAGGCCCAAAGATCTCATCCTGGGGCAGCAACTGGGCAATGGTCTGACGTGTCCTCTCTCCAAACGAGTGAGTAAAGGATATCAGAAAGAAAGCGTCAGGCCTGCGAGAAAGGGCATCTGCTACTCGATTGTAGCAGCCCTTCTTGTGTCTCAGTTCAAAGTCAAACATGTCAATGAACTGAATATAGCGAGCAAGCTTGTCATTCAGCTCTCCCTGGGACTTCATCCACTGAAGGGTGGAGTGATCTGAGAAGATCTTGAAGTGCCTGCCCAGGAGAAAGTGCTTCCAATGCTTGAGCGCTGACACAAGAGCATAGAGCTCCTTCTCATAGGTAGAGTCCTGCAGCTTCTTGGTCTTGATCTTCTTGCTCATCTACTCAATAGGCTGCGGACCATTCCCATCATCCTGCTGAAGTACCGCCCCTACACCATACTGGCTAGCGTCAGTAGTCAGTACAAAAGGCAAAGTAGGGTCAGGTAGCTTCAGGACAGGGGCACGAATCAAGGCCTCCTTGAGACGTGCAAAGGCCTCCTGACATTCTGACGTCCAAAGAAAGGAAGTGTCTTTCTTTGTAAGATCAGTCAGGGGAGCTGCAATCGCTGAAAAGTTCTTGATGAACTTCCTGTAGTAGGATGCAAGCCCCAAGAAAGACCGGACATCACGAATGTTCGCAGGTCGCGGCCAGTCCTGAACTGCAACAACTTTCGTTGCCTCAGGAGCCAACCCCTCTCCAAAAATCACGTGTCCCAGATAGATTACAGAGGGAACTCCAAAAGAGGACTTCTCCCTGTTGATCTTATACTGGTTAGCACGTAAGGCCTGGAGGACCAGAGCCAGATGTTGCGCATGCTCCTGGACAGAACGACTGAATACCAAGATGTCGTCCAGGTAGACAACTACGAACTTGTCCAGGTAAGGCCTCAATATGCGATGCATCTCTGTTTGGAAAGTGCCTGGCGCATTGCAAAGACCGAATGGCATAACCAGGTACTCGTAAGTCCCATGCCTGGTTTTGAAGGCTGTCTTGTGGACATCGCCTTCAGCCATCTCAATCTGGTGGTAGCCAGATTTGAGGTCGATCTTGCTGAAAATAGTGCAGCCCTGCACCATATCCAACAGGTCATCAATGCGAGGAAGGGGCTCTGTAGACTTCCTCGTGATTTTGTTGAGACCTCGATAGTCCACGCACATCCTAAACTCACCATTCCCCCTTGGAACAAAGAGGACTGCTGCCCCAAATTCAGATGTGTTGGGCCTGATCCAGCCCTTGCTGGTCAGGGTCTCTAACTGTTTCCTGAGCTCTTCAAGTTCAGCAGGAGACATCCTGTAGACCCGGCCCTTGGGAGGGACCGAGCCAGGCAGGATCTCAATGTTATGTTTGGTCTGCATATGGACAAGTCCAGTAGGCTCCTCCATAAGATCTGAGAACTGGTCTACAACCTGCTGAATCTGAGAGGGACAGGGAGCAGTCTCCACGTCAGTCTGTTTGACATAAGCCACAAACAGACGAGCGTGGTCTGTCTGGCATGAGAATCGCAAAAACTTGCGAGCACTCATGCAATAACAGCTGCTGGCCGGATGGTACTCATTAGCGAGTATGCAAGGGCGATAGACCCCATGCCGGTCAGGCAGCTCAACCCTAGGAATCCGCCAGTCAATCCTAGGATTGGTGGCACCAAGCCACTGCATAGAGAAGACAAGGTCAAAGGGAACGTTAGGGAATACATAGAAGTGCAGGCGATGCTTGACTTCCCCCTGCTTGTCAAAGGACACAGGTAGGCCCTTGACAGCAGTGGTAATCCTGGCTGTGGAAGAGTCCCCAATGCGGACTTCCAATGGCTGTCGCAGCTTCACCAACCTCTGATCCAAGTGCAGTTTGCTGACTGCCTTGGGGGAGATGAAGTTGCGAGTAGCCCCACAGTCCAAGAGCCCTTTGATCTTGGCTCCCAGGATGTAGGGTCGAAGCAGGATGAGTTCAGACTTATGCTTCTTCTTCTCCTGCAACTCTAGAAATAAAAGTATCAGCGAGAGAATGTGAAGATTCACCTCCACCAGAGAGGGAATCGGCACTGGTGGAAGGAGCTGCTCCGTCCACCTTTTTTGAACTAGAGATGCCTGCAGACCTACGAGGCATACTGGGACAATCCTTAAGAAAGTGGTCCCCCTCGCATCTCAGGCAGACCCCCTTATCCTTCCTCTTCCTCCAAACTCCCTCCTGGATCTTGAGTACATGCCAGGGGAAGGTGGAAGGATCAAGTGGGTCAGCTGGCCAGCGGAAGTCTCGTGGTAGAGGTACTCTCTGGGCCCCAGGGGAAGACGCACGTCCCTTCCCTTTCCCCTAGCGGCTGGTTGATGCTTTTTGGGCTGGGACCTTTCCCTTTGCCAGACCCATCAAAGCATTAGCCAGGGCAAGAACAGGATCTGCAATTGATGATGATGCAGTCCCAGGTGGAGGGCTCCCACCCTGGGATGCTGCGTCACTATCAGAACCAGACGCTGCAGCAGCAAACAGGGCGCCCTTCCTCCTCCTTCGCCCTTTGGARGAGGGCCCCTTCCTTCCTTCAGAAGGTGCTTCCTGGACATGGAGCTTGGACTCCAAGTCCAGGGCTGCTCTGCCAAAGGACCTCCAGTCCTTGTGGCCCTGAGAGAAGAGAGCAAGCTGGAATTGCTCAGGCGCTGCCCTCAGGAAATGAATGAGCAGATCCTGCTCACTCATCTCCAACCCTGGAGTCGATGTCAGACTCTCAAAGGTGGAATAGAGTTTGGACAAGGAGCCATCAAACTTTTTCTGGCCTAGGCGCAGAATTTTATCTGCAGCCTTTCTGGCCTGCTCCTTGTCTGCAAACCGGTCCTGCAGATCCAGCCACCCCCAACCTCTGCGCCCAATCAGCCATCTCCATCCCCTGCTTGCTGGAGGTAGAGGTGCAGCATTTCAGTGCAGTCCTCTCCAGCCGTGCCAGGATGGCTGACACCTTCACATCCTCGTCGCATTTGAACCCACTCAGGTAGGTTCGCTGCGCAGTCACCCAATCTGCCACATCCACCTTAGGATCTTCTCCTGAGAACATTGGTGGAGGGGTCAGCTTGGGCCGCTGCGGCTCAAATGGGGCTAAGGACTGAGAGGGTGCTGGTGACTTGGGTGTAAGAGGTGGGGATGTAGGTCTGGAGTGTGGGGGTTTTGGGACAGGTGTTGCAGAAGGGCCAGAAGAAGGAGGAACAATCTGAACAGGGGTGATCTGCAACTGTTTGGCAATGCTGGTCAGCTGCGCAGAGATGTCATCCAGCTTCTTTGACAAAGTTGAATGACTGGTCTCTAGACCTGAGATTCGGTCATCCCAGTTAGTAAAGTAGGACCGGTGAATCTCATCCTGCAGAAGGATGAATTCTGCCATGTCCTTATTTGCCTGACTGGTCGTACCGAGGCTCATGATTCTCTGCATGTCTCCAATCAACACTTTTCTTCTGGCCTCTTTCTGGGCATACTCTTCCTTCCTCTTGAGCTCTGCCTTTAGATTCTCAACTGCCTGGGTCTGCAAGCGGAGTTTCTCCTCTTGATCCCGCAGTTCAGCCTCTAAAGGGTCAGGCGATACAGGTGTCTCAGGCTGCACTTTCATTTCAAGCTTTACCAGGGGTGTTTCCCCTGAACTCTCAACTCCCTCAGCCTTCCCTGTTTCCGCCATATTGCTCCCCACAATACAGACAAATAAACAAACAACAAATAACAATCAAAGAACAGACAGGAGGTAACAAGAGTTGGATGTTCCCTGCAGTACTAATCCAATTGTTGTCACTTGCCTGGAGAGAGAAGATTGGTTAGTCTGAGCAAGTGAGTGCTCAGTCTCAGCAGACCGCTTGAGGGTCAGGGTCAGTTCAGAGTCCACTCAGGCAAAAACCAATTTCACGATTTTTCCATCCCTGCCCTGACACAACAATTGCATGCAATAATTGCAAATCCTGAATCAACAACTGACAGGATGCAGTCTTGGACTAATTAGTGTTGATTAGTAATCAGACAGAGTGACTAATTAGGGTTAGATGGGTATCTGCTGATGACCAAGATGCAGCGATTTGCAGGAGAACCTATTTTTAGACCTACCCTGTTGACATCAACACTGTATGACCCTGGATGCCATACTGGGGGTATGGCGAATTACAGCAAACACTGTAACTGACTCAAAACATCAAATCTGACTGTGCGATTTCAGACACTGCTAGAATATTGAATTGCGATTTACCAGGGACTGACATAACTGAATTCTGACGGGCAGAATCAAAGTTATGACTGACCGTAGTCTACCATAGCTTTGGCTATGCCAGCGCAGAATTCAAATTTGCATTATCACTGACAATTGAACCCTGAAACCATCAATTCACTGCACAGTGTAAATCGCAATACTGTAAAGCAGTCCCAGATGAAATTTGAGCCAGAGGGGAGGTCAAACAGGGTTAGTAGAGGTCAAAGAAGATAGGTAGGAGAGGTTGGATATGGCTGTCCCACAGTCTTAATTTCGATTTTCAACTGTCACCTGACGGACAGACCCAATTTCACTATTCTAAAAATAGCCCCTGAATCGTCACACAGGATAGAGTAAGGGACACACTCACTTCAGGATCAGCTCTGAAGAAGATGCATGGAATCATGGCTATGGCTGAATAGTCAAGCCTGTCTCGCCAGTTTCACCTCCTGACAGTATACTGTGCTCCCACGTACAGAATCCTTCCCAACTTGGTGATCCAGTAGAGTTCCCTGAGGCGCTTCACCCCCAACTGACAGATTCAACGAATTTGGACTCCCAGGTGCTGATAACTGCTCCAGACAGTACAGCGCCACATCACCCTGTACAACGCTGATTGGAAATTGGGGATTCTGACCCAATTCCAAAATCACAACCTCCTGGGATCACTTCCCTGACAATCGCCAACCTCCAGGTGAATCGCCAGGCTATAATTAGCCTCCCAGAGCCTTCTGGACCTCTGGATTATCAAACGCCACTCACTCCTGCATAACCCTAGCCAGAAGTGTGTCACCCTCTGTCTGTTGCTTCTCGCCACACACTCACAACCACCACCCTACTGACAACAACCCTGAAGATGATGAATCGCCATGAAGCTCAACTCCAGTATCTCGCCAGATGATGATGGGTGCTCCAACTCATCAATCGCTCCAGAGTCAGGATCCAATTGCTCCGATACCAACTGTTATGATTCTGGTTGTTCGTTGCCTGAAAGCCAACACTCACTCACATAAACTTCTGCACATGCCCATACACACACAGAAGGAAGGGGAGAGGATAGGAGTATCACACCACACAGGGAGAGATAAACACAGCGGAAGACTTGACCATGCGGTATGACAGGGTACACTGAAAGTGCAATACACTCCACTCAATCCTCACAACCAGTCATAGAGAAAAGTCGAGCAGATCACATCCAGGAACCAATGAAACGATGATAGTCCAAACACAGTTATACACTGTTTATTAAACTCAGAGTCTCGAAATGTCAGGATCACTTCAGAACTACAGTGCGCTGCTCAGAATTGAGCAGCGCTTCACTCTCCAASCCYGATAGACACCCGTAACACCCCCTGAGCCCTGAAACATCAAGCGCCACCCAAATACAGCCTCCTGGGGGCAGCGCCACCCTGAAACAGGCCTCTGAGGCCAAGCGCCACCCAAATACAGCCTCCTGGGGGCAGCGCCACCCTGAAACAGGCCTCTGAGGCCAAGCGCCACTCAGAGGATGAAGAAGAAGACCAGCGCCACAGTATCTGGTGATGACGAAGTGTCGAGAGGCTTCCCGGGTGGAAGCCTGCAGCAGCGCCACCAAATCCTGACTAGATGACCTCTGAGATGAAGAAGCTGCAGCTATGGCTGCAGCGCAAACCCTCTGGGACCCCACTCCGGAGGAGGGTCCAGCAGGGCACCAATCTCTCTCTCGCCTCCAGCAGACCTCAATAACCCAGACCTCTGTCAGCCCCTACGTGCTGGCAGAGTACAGCGCAGGTCCCAACTATGGCCTGCGCTCCAAAGGTCTGGCTATGCCCGTCTTCTTCCACGCTGAGCCGTCACCACTTCCGGTTCACACGCAGCGCAGCAGCGATGTACACGGTACCAACTGCCAAAAAGCCCTGAACCGATGTCCCCATCCTACTTCTAGCCTACACCGACCTAGACCGGACTGACTGACCGACCGGTACCGTATCTGTTTCGGCCTCTCGGCCTCTACCGGACCCGGCTATAGGCTATAGGACCGTCTATTCAGAATAGGCCCATAGGGCCTGTCTGTCTAGGGGTAGCCCGGGTCTGCTATCCGCAGTTAGGGTAGCTGTAGGGAATCGAGTTAGTACCGGGCCTGTATTTTTCNGGCCTGTCTGTCTAGGGGTAGCCCGGGTCTGCTATCCGCAGTTAGGGTAGCTGTAGGGAATCGAGTTAGTACCGGGCCTGTATTTTTCCCGGATTTGCAGATATGTCCCTCACGAATTTCCCTCACAGGTAGGTCTCTCGGTTAGCCCTCATCCAAACAAAATTACGAATATGTCCTACCTATAGTACAGCCTTGACAGAGAGAGGCTACAGGCGACCAGAAAACAGCAAGTCATTGCAGTCGAGTGTATCCCGAGAAGCGCCACAAGCGGGAGGAGGGAAAGACAGAGGAGGGGGAGGATGGCTCTCTATCATCTTCCAATTCATTCTCATTTTGCACCCCTGGTGAGTAGTCAAGTGAACCCCGGTGAAAAGTGGATGAGGACCATGAGGAGTGGTAGGAGGCAGGGTGGGATTACGAGTGACAGGAGCAGAAGGAGGGGAGGCTGGGAGGACGGACAACAGGAGGAGCAGCAGAGGGACGAGAGGTGGGATGACAAGTGGGAGGAGGATGTGAGGACAACAAAGATGAGGAGAACAAAAAGAGTGGAAGGAGGAGGGGGAAGACTAGCGGGAGCACAAAGACGACGAGCAGGAGAAACGCAGTAAGTCTCACTCCACTACTCACTACACGCAGAAAAGAAGAAATATGGGCGTGTATCTTTCTGTCTTCTTTTCCCCGTGTATCTTCCCATGTTCTACTGGAAGATTCATTCTCATTTTGCACATTTGGTGAGTAGTGGAGCAAAGGAGGCGGGGCAGGATGACGAGGGGAGGAGCAGGAGGCGGAGGGAAGGACAACCCCGCATAGGACCGCAGCCGCCGAGGGCTGCGTTGGCACTCGGCCACGGCATCGCCACGGCGGGCCCACTTGTTCAATATAAACTTTAATAAACAAGGACAATTGTTCAGTCACAGAAAGACACAACGGTTTCCCAGACATCGTCAGGAAATGCGCGAAGACTACATACATCCGACCAGGTTTAGGTTAGATGTTGTTGCAGACAGCCATCTGACAGGGAACCTAACTGCACAAGAGTGGAATGAGGAATGCCTGGCACCTCTACTGACATCAGACTGAAATGAGCCCACCACAGATTCCTTCCACTAACACATACACAGGAACTAACTTGGGAGAAAGAAGCATCCGCAACTGGCGTGGTACTCCCCATTATGAACAAGTCATAGCCAGGCTGTATCTTGAAAAGAACAGCAGGTCCACAAGTTGCCAGAGCAAATGACGTAGAAGTCAGGCTGGTGGTTTACATTGCCTCCTCCACAGTACTAAAGCATCATTCAATGTCGACATTTTTCTATCCTATCCTACCCTACCCTTATCCTTGTTCACCCTTCCCTACCCTATCTAACCTTTCTAAATTCTCATCCCCTCTTATCTCCTCTCCTCCCATCTCCTCTCCTCTCCTTGATCCGATCCAATCTAATCCAATCCAATCCACTCCTGGACTTGACTTGACCGGATTGTCTCGACTCTGTCCCGCCCCCTCCCCCTCCCCCTCCCCCACCCCGCCCTGGCCTGGCCTGCTCCGCAACCCGCCCTTCGGGCCTCGCTCTGGCACGCCCTGCCCCACCCGGTCCCCCCACTCCGCCATGTTAGCCATAGCTTAAAAAACACTACTGAAATTAAAAACTCACACCAATAATGCTACTAGTGCCTGGCCAAGGTGCCTGAGTTTGTTTGTATCAATCTTTTCAGGGTTCGTCAGGCTGTAATTCAGGGAAGTGTGTGGGTTTAATTTTCCGATACATTCATATTGGAATGCTGGACACGGTTTCTAGCCGGCGCCACTCCCACCAATACAAAGGAGCCTTGCTTCCTTGAAAGAGGGGAAAAAAAGACATGGATGTCTTAGGGAAGAAGAAGGGGTGTTGAAGAACGAGAGGGGCTGGTGGGAAGGGACGCTGGTGATGTGACTGATGTTGTTGGTGGTGATGTAATGCCGCTTGGACACATAATGTTTGTGATGGCTTTTGTGGCTTCTCGCGGTGTGTTTGACATCTCAAAATTTATTCCCTCTGTTCTTTCTCTTTGACCTCCTACCTTCTTCCCCCGAATACACCGTACGTTCATTTTCACTGCATCTGGACTCAAAGGTGAGCCAAATACGGCTATAATGACCATATGTTCTATTCGGGGGAAGACGGTAGTTTTTCTTCCTGACCAGGCTGTGTGACCTTCTCTCTTTTCTCTGCCTTCTCTCTTTCATAAACTTGAATTAAACCCGTGTGGTCAACTGAGTGATGAATTTGAAACTCGTTCAAATTTCAAATGTAACCACTTGTGTGATACACTTTACTAACTCAATGCCCAATGAATTGCAGAAAATGACAAAATTTTGTGGATTTACTCCATGTGTAAGTAAGCCATGTAATTAATGTCAACTTTTACATGTAAAAGCTCTAAGAAAATCCAAGAGTTGTAATCATCCAACCAACCTGGTAACGCAAGTTAAGCAGTAGCTGAGTTTCGATGTCTTTGTCCTTGAACCCCTGTCAGAAATAGAAGGCAGCCATCACACCCAAAACAAAGCAGTAAATAGTAAATACTACATTGTTGTTTGCAGTGCTGTGACTGGTCAATGTCAATCGTTTTTTTTGTATTGTTTTTCGTTTCTTTTTAGACGGCTGTGGAACACCTCACTGCAGTGCAATATGAAGGCAACGCTGGAGGGGTCGAGCAGGCAAGCCTACCCCTGTGACCCCTCCGACACCCGACAAAAAAAAAATTAATATCGTTGTGGCCCAACGGACCACAGATCAGATATTAAACTTACAGAACAGATACTACTGTAATAACTCAGCTCATATCACGCTGTAGTTGTAAGCCACAGGTCGTCACCTCGGTCTAAAGGGCCGAATCAGGGGCCAGCGGCCACACCCCATGTCAAGAAACAGGCTGAACAAAGGCCACCCGCTGTGGGTACCGAAGCAAGGCCTCAAAAATGGGCTTCAGAAGCCCTACGTGCGGCAGCTGACCAAGGAAAGTCAAAGGTCAACAGCAGCTCGGAAATTCAGGCCCACGAGTCAAAGTCAACACGGACCCAGCCCAGGCCACCAATCACACCCCTACACTTGGCTGTTTGCAGGTATCTGTCAAGAATCCGGTCCAAGTGGGAATCTGCAACTGTATGTGATCCAGGCCAATGATTGTGGGTCAATCTGGGCCGTCGTATCCGAGAGACCGGAGGCTGGTCAACCTCAAGTCAACACTGTAAGTTGGACCCAGCCCCTGCTGACCTACATTCAGTCTTGCACTTGATGCACGGCGCTGGCTGGCCACTGGCTTGATATTGGACGGCGACGTGAGACTGCTACTGCGCTGGCGCCATCTTCTATCTACGCCAGCTCACTTCTTGATTATTGCTGACGTGGCTCTCACCACACTGTCTACGACATTGATATGGTATTGGCGAGGAGGAGGAGGATCAGGGCTGTGAGATTGGTCGAGTGGAGAAAGGAGAGCTTACCTGTTCACGATCGTGTCGACATTGCGCTCTGCTGTCTTCAGAAGGAGTCTGAGCCGTGCGCGCCATGTTGAGATCTGTTCGATGTAAGTGTGTGTCAGAGAAAACTGTCTGGTGCCGTGGCGAGTAGGAGATGCCCGAAGGAGGAGTGGACCAAGCGGGAGATCTATCTGCTGAAGCTGATGGTTACTTTCTCTTCCACCCTCTCAGTCTAATCTCCCTCCTATCACTCTCTTCTCTGGTTACTTGACATTGGACTCTTGATTACTTGTACGATTGGAGACATTGAAACTGTGCTGAGACATTCTGTACTTCGACATTGTTGAGCTTTCTTCCTGACTGGGTTAATTGCACTACACTTGATCTTCGTCAAAGGCCGAGAAAGGTATGCAAGATGTCAATCATTCTCTGTCAAAAGAGACCATACGACTACCCTAAACCACACTCTCCCTCTTAGTTTGTTGATTTTTTATTTTTTTTTCGGAGTTCTTCATCTTCATTGATTTCTTGCATTCCTTTTTTTCCATTAAAGGGGAGACCCTTGTCTTTAAACTTTGGAGGGTAATTCAAAGCTAGGATTGGCCGATAAGCAGCCATCCTTAAAGCCCTCCCACCTCGCCAGCAATAAGTAAGTCCTCAACCTGGCCAGAATGCAAAAGCAGTCCCACAGAATGAACAGGGGCACCATCTACAAGGGCATGGACTAGGCTACATAATTTCTTGTGTGTCCCACAGAATGAACAGGGGCACAATCTACAAGGGCATGGGATAGGCTACATAATTTTTTGCCTCCCTTGGGGAGCGCATAAGGTGCTAATTGAATATTAAGATCAGAAAATGCATCTTTTTTATTCGGTAAAACCGTGAAGCTGTTCCACAAAACCATACCTGCTCATGCAGCTCTTGTATCACCCTCGTTGTGAGGACCTTTGCTCGGCAGTGAACTTCTTGCATTGCCTCTGTGCTGTATGTCAGAGCGCAAGGCTCCAGTGCGTCAGTCATAACATCTGCTAGCCCCATTCCATAAGCACTGAGAATGCCACAGTACCGGTGCACAAGCACCTTACCTGCCCAAGAAACCAAGATGGATCAAATCCCAGGACAAGGGAAAACAGGAAACATGTTAAACCAGAACAATCAAACAGACCGCTTTGGGTGTGACAACGGACCAAAAAAAGGAAAGGAAGAAAGAAAAGAATCAAACAGACAGATCTGTGTGATACTAACGGATACTAAGGGGTTGGAGAGATGGGGAACAAGGGAATGCAATGTTACCTGTGCATTTCTCTCCCTTTTTGCACAGAAGAAAAACTCTTTTCAACTTTTTGAAGTTTTTATGCTGTTTTTTTTTTTTTTCCTAGGTTTCTCAGCTTGGTGCCCAGACTGGCTCTGGCTGCGCAGATCCCACATGCCAACTCAACCGGGCTAGGTAAGGGCAGTCCCACCACAAAATAACTAGATTCACCATGCCCATGTGACTGAATCGTACACATGTGTGACTGTGAGCAAACAGAACATGAGTTTGAATCCTGATGAGTGAAAGTTGGGGGCTAAGCCCCTCCGAGCAAAGCAAAAAATAATAAAATATATATTTTTTAATTTTTAAATTTTTAAATCATAAAAAAATTGAGAACGTAGGGGTTTACCCGGGACAGCCGCTGCCCGACTCACCTGAGGGATCTCCTGCCTGGATCAACCCGGGTGTGTTGGAAGTCCAGGAAAGTTTTTTTCCCCCCCTTTCGATGGGACGTTTCTGCGTCATTGAAAGCAGCCCAAATCCGGGCTATCAGTGTTGTCTTTTTTTTTGGTGGGTGGTGGGGACCCGGGGGGGGAGTCTTAAAGGGGTTTAACCCCCCTCTTTTTCTTTAAAAACACAAAACACACATGCCCCATCTACTGTGGTGCCCAACAGTCCGGTTACTTATCACCGTCAAGCATCAGAAAACAGTTTATGAAAGACAGTAAAGTGAAATACAACAGAACAGAAAGAAGATGTCATTCCCCTGAGGCACTAGACAGCAGCCAGCGGGGGGCCAACCAGTTGATGCTCATTCGCGCTCACTAGCATCGAACAGGTCATGACACACGCTTGCTTCTAAGCTCCAAGAACTTGTTTGTCATCGTGCACGGCCAAAAAACTTGATGATACGGATTGAAAATTACGTTCCTCTGAAAACCCAACAGCTGAGAGAAAGATCAAACGAATAGGGATCAAAATGACCCAGTCTCTCGAGAACAATAAGCCACTATGACTACACTCTCATCTCATCATCACTTGCTGACGAGCAGAACGCTTCCACACTTTTCTCGACTCTGAGATACTTGGAATGAATTGATGAACAGACTGGCAACAATTTTCGCCAGAACAAGACATCCAGTCCTGCAACATTTCTGCACACGCCCTAGCTTTGTGTAGAACCTACTGGGCAATCAAGCTACCTGCCCGGCTTAAAAACCCAGCAATTGCAATATAATAAAAATATTGGGCATACTCCAACCACACTGTTTCTTTGTCATTCTTGCCATGACTATGGTGACCGGGGTTTGATCCCTGGCCAGTAAGGACACAAGTCGTTGCCCGTCATGGCTTCCCCCACAGAACAGAGGACGGGGGGGGGGGGGGTGAACGAAGGAGGTGGGAGGAGAAGAGGAGAGCCCATGAGTTCTTTCCAGATAAGACGAAAGGCTGACAGGCAGGATATACTCCATGGTGGACGGATGACCTTCTACAATATCGAAAGCAAGTGGCAGGTACGTTCATGAGAATGAAGAATGAGACTGCGCTCCAGGAGGGGTAAAGGGGCTCTCTTCACACTCTGCGGCATTTCAGGAGTCTGGGTTCCGTAAGGACAAAAGTCCTCACGATTATAGGTACAATCCACCGCATTGTGGCAAATACATATATTGAACAGGATGTTCCTCTTGTCTTACGTTTGCTTGTTGAAGAACTGAATCAGCTAGACTATCCAAAGGATGTCATTATCGCCGCATTAAATGCGTTTGTCCGGAACTCTAGAAATATAGAAACAAGAAAAAATATCAGCAACTTAAAAAATACAGCAATGTAACAGCATTATCTTTCTTTCTTTTTTTTTTTCTTTTTTTCTTTTTTTAAACAGGTCCTTATGGTCCTGGCGCCATATCCATTCTGGTGAGCGTCAGTCTGGTTCCTATTCCCCCGGCAAGTCAAAATTGAATACATTATCATACACACTCACACTTCCTTCCGTATGGCCGAAGGAACCCTGACCAGCATTGATTACTCCTGCTTGGGAGGATTGACTGTTAGCTTGCCCTGCCTTAGTTTTCCTCTCAGAAACCCTGTTGGTTCTGTCGAATAGGCGTTGAAGCACGAGAAACTGGGAGAGATGTCTGTCCGTCTGAGACTAAAGCCTCAATTTGTCCTTCTAGGGACCGCACTCCTTGTCTTCGTTAAAGAGGGACCCCTCTCCCAATCTGAACCCTTGATTGTATCCTGCTCGTTGCCCTGCTTGTTCTTGTGCTCATTGAACTATTCCTCCTCCGTAGATTACATGGTGTTCCGTTGCTTTGCGGCTACACTTGATGCCACTTTTTCCATATCAGCCTGTTGACCCCTATGGTGGCGATCTTGCCCTTTAACAACCAGTTCCTCAGGAATGTTCGTCTTTTGAATGCGTGCTTTTCTGGTCTCTGCATCTTGGATGAGGATATTTTCCGCCATCTGGCCCGAATTTCGGTCTCCACCATGCTTATCAGAAGAGTCGACATTTCCTCCCTTGACACCTCTGCTCCTTCAATTGTCTGTGTGCATCTGCGTTTCCATATGACCCATAGAGCCAGTTTTCTGGGATGATTGAACCAGACTTCCTCGCTGCCTTTGAACTTCCTGGTAGTATTAGAGAGGAGTAGGATAGTTAGAGGGGAAGTGTTTGGGGGTGACGCTGAAAAGAGGATGGACCATGGTTGCCGAACTTTGTCCCAGATCCATTTCGCTTCAGGACAGTAGAGGAGGCAGTGGGGGATATCTTCTGGTGTGTTGTTGTTGGACAAAACGCAAAGTTCTGAGCTGTCAGGGTCTGAGTGTTTCCTTCTTTTGTGGAACCATTCATTGACCGGGAGGGCTGCGTGTGCTAGGAGCCATTGCATGCTGCGGATTTTTTTATTTATTATTATTATTTTTTTTTTATTTTTTTTTTATTTTTTATTTTTTTTAACAAAGGCTCCTTCTATTTTGGGGAGTGTCAGTCCGGTTTCTATTCCACCGGCAAGTCGGAATTATACACAACAATTAAGACACACTCACGCTTCCTTCCGTCTGGCCGAAGGACCCCTGAGCAGCATTGATTACTCCGTCTTGACCATAGCTACGATCCGGACAGCCGGACAGGGATCCGGACTGACCGGTGTCCGGCGTCCGGTCCAGGTTTCCGGATCCTGGTCGGGATGGTGGGAAAATGGGGGTTAGCCCATTTTTTTTTCAGGCAGCCCAGGTCGTTTTCTTCCATTTTGGGCCGCTGTGGAAAAATGCTGGGCGTTCTTTTAAGATTTAGATGTGGCGTCCAGACAGGGCCGGACGGAGGCCCTAAGTTTTCTTTTCCCGCCCTGCACTCGTTTCAAAGCAAACGAACTGTGCACTATCAGATGCGCCCGTATCTTCCGGGGATAGGCTGCTTAGTACATTACTACATTTCCCCCCACGTTGCCCCCCAAAACGAAGAAAGTCCGAAAACAAATCGAAAAAAGAAGATCCTATCTCAAAAAGAAAACAGCGAAACAAAACAAAAAAAAAAACAAACAGCACCTGTCAGAACGGGAGCCTACAATGACTCTGGGGGCTTTAGGCCTGCCTCCACTACTCACCAAATGCAAAATGACAATGAATCTTCTGCTACAACATGGAAAGATACACCACCACACTTTCTGTCTTTTGTGCATATGGTGAGTAGTGGAGCCGAGCTGTATGGCCTCTCTCCAACAGGACCAATTTTGTTTCGTTTTCTGTTGTTTTTTTCCCTTGTTTTTGGCAGATTGGCATGGCTTGTCCTTTCAACGCGTGCGCACCTTCCCAGGATTGCACGCTTTGTGCATTCCAGCAAACGACAAACAAGGACAACAGAAAAAAAACAAAAACGAATGTGCCATTTTAAGAAAGAAAAAAACGGCCATCAGAAGAGGCGCCTGCAACGGGAGGGGAGGGACTTTCTGTTCCACATTTCCCTCTGCCCGCCACTTGGCGGGTTCTTGTAGTTCTTTTTTTKSCYWWTTTTCACACGTTGGCTTTTTCACGTGACCGTTGGCAAAAAGCCAACAGCATTCCAACGGGCCGCCCACTTTGCACACCCACGACCTGTTGAAATACAGACCCAAGTTCGAATCCAGATACAATCAGATGACCAGAATGAGATAATTCTGAATTACCTGGGGCCGGTGATATAGCAAATACGGCCCATTGGCATAATTCAGCCTTCTGTTGCACGCCCATGAACTGTTGAGATGCAGACCTGAGATTGAGCATTTCCCCCACACTGCCCACAGTGGTTTTTTTTTTTTTTTTTTTTTTTTTTTTTTTTCTTT